TTCAATATTTAAAGCATCTCACATTGAATCTCATTAAAATAATGATTCCCAAATCAGGTGCTTTTGTGGAATATGGTAATATTATATTTTTTTATTAATGTGTTTCAGAGGTGTGCTGTTATTTAGTACAGTGGCTGCATCGTAGCCTGCAGGGCTATGGGTTGGAATCCTGTTCCCAGTCTGTGTGCTTGAAGCTTCTTTGTCCTGTATACTCTGTCTGGATTTCCTCCAGCTGCTCTGGTTTTTTTTACATAGTCCAAGAACGTTTAGGCGATGGATTGGTGTCCCATCCAGGGTCTACTTCAGCCTTGTGGCCGGTAATATATATATATATATATATATATATACACACACACATACACACATATATCTCATGCTTTAACTACTTAATTGTATGCCCTCTGTTCAAGTCCGATGTTTAAATGTTTATCTAGAAATTTACATTTACAGACTTTGAAAGCACACAGTGGAAAATTTATTAGATCTGATTGAAACACGGTCAGATCAAGGTTTTCAATAACAAGCTGGTAATATAATTATTTGATCAATAGCAATCTCCTGCTGAAGAGTGATCTGAGAAAAGAAGAAATAATGACCTATTCACGCTCTGCATCCTACCTTGCGTTTCTGGGTTCCTGAGGGGCTTATAAGAGTGAATGGTGCACGGATTGTACATTTTACAAGCAATAATATGCATGAAATCACATCTTAGAAATTAGGACCCTGCTGATGAGATATGACCACCTGAATCAGCTGTTTATATGGTTTCTGACTAGATGAATTAAGCCATTACTATCACATGCCTCCTGCCTCTTGATGCACCAATCAGCTTCAGGCAACAAAACTATGAACAGTTTGTCAACAACTGCTGGGCTGTTGAACATCCTGGGAGTTTCTTGTTGTCACAGACGTCCTAGATATGTTGTGTTAATCGACACTACAATCCAGTTAGAAGTCAATGTTTTTCTAACATTGTGAACAATGTTAGAAAAACATTGTTCACAAGCATGTCAAACCCATGATTTTAGTATGTCTAGTTTTGTGCTACATGCTTTTAAATTGTGTCAGTATGAATGAATTTTCATCTTGTAAACGTTTCTTAAAGAATCACGCCTGATCTGAATTTACTCTGGTGGTTCCTTCATTTTCTGATGTTCACATTACAGTCATAGTAACTACTATGCCGTTGTGAAAATAAAATGTGGATTTATCAAGGCAAATTATGGTGAATATGTCATGCTTATGTAGAATCAGCATTAATGATGAAATAACCATCTAACATCTTGCACCTCTTGGTCAGGAAGACAATGCTGTGACGTTATGCTGGATCTATAAACAGTAAACACCGGTATCCTGTCATCTTCAACAAATGTCACTTTTAATGCCACATATTCTGAAATAAACTAACTTCCACGGCGAACCAAGAAGAGCAGGCGTTTCTTACATTATTGGATGACGTCAGGAGATGTACTTTAGACTAGCATCATGTCTACGAGGAGATGTTCTACATGCTCCTATCAACACCGTCTTTCAAGGTGATTTCCGCTGCATCTCTTGGGATGGTTTTTTTCAGGATCATTAATTTTAAAGGCATCGCGCTCGTATTTGGACGTGACAAATCGGGGAGAGATTTCTTTTCAAGGCCGCCATTTCTCCCAACAAAGCGGAGGCCCTCCCCTGGCGTGGCAGGCGCCGACTGGTGGGGGCAGCGTCAGAACCACTTGGCAGTCCTGTCAGTCCCGAAGGCTGCCCCCACGAGGGAGTGGTGACTGCCAGAAGAAAAGAGTGAAGTAAATCAATCAATACAACTCCCCAAACTGACAAAAAAATAGCAGAGGCTCAATTTACTGGGAGCAAAATGGAATGTCATGACTTAGCGACAGTGAAGAATAAGTGGAATTATGAAAAGAAGACGTATCATGATTTATTTATCAGGTAATCCAAGCATATCGTGCATGTATTGTTGTCTCTATATAGTTCGAACTCTTTATGGCCGAAAAACACACACACATCTTTTATTGTATAAAGATAATCTGTAAAAGGAGTTAGCATTATTAAAAAGAATTGGGCTTGCTTTTCTCTAATGAAGATAATAATGACTGCTCCGACCATACCTCTCAAACAACAGAGGGTTAGGGATTATTTACTTGTAAGAATTGAATATTTTTCAGTCAGTGCTCATAAATCTGTCCCTTTTGATCAGAATACACCTTCAGTGTGTCAGGGGTGTTGACACTGACAGACAACGAAATGTATTTGTATTGTGTGAATGAAGTTATTTTATATTGTTTTATTTTATTTTATTGTGGTGCACATTTTCCTAGTGAAAAGTCTCCAAGTGTGAGATTTTCTGGAGGGCAAGTCAGGCGCTGATGTAGGCTAATTCATATTTCAGGATGTTTGGATACATTGCAATCCATCTGCATTGTTTTATGAAGTCTACAAAATAATTTTGACTGCAAGATGTAAAAGAAAATCTCTCACATCTTCCATCCAGTACTGTTGCTTTCATAAGGTATAATCTCTTGTCCTGTTTTTCTAAATGAATCCATCAATACACAGTGAAAAAAATTCACAGGACAATATTTCTGCGATTGGTACCATGTTCTGTAGCATGGACATGTGACCTTTGTCACAAATACTCTCGTGACTGTGCTCATAAGTGTTAAATTTAGAATTGTATGACTCTTTTGTCAGTGCCAACAGGTCCTCAGCCCCCCCCCCCCCCCCCCCCCCCCCCCCCCC